GACTTAGTATGATTGGCTGCTTCAACTGTCCGATTACAGGTGTCCGATTACAGCTAACTGTCCGATAACAACTGTACAGAGTGATTAATGAAATATAAAGCAGCTGATGCACCAATCACATTTGAGGAAATTATAATGGTTATGATTAATTTTGTGATAGCAAGTGTTTCATTGAATAGGTTGATACGCCGTCTAAAAACAATTCGCCATATAACAATCTATCATAAGTAGTAAGTTAGAAAAGTGAGGTATTTGTTTATACATAATTAATTAATGTAACTTTCATTCGGGTAATATTTGAATTCTCCAAAACAATTTGTTCACTGTAAAAAGTTGAGCGAAGTTTTAAGTCCTACTACAAATACACTTTAGGTAAGTCTTAACCAAACCATTGAATTTGTACATTTATTCCGTAGATTGCACGGCAGAAAGGAAATAATTCACGGGGTGAAAGCCGCATTAAATCCTCTTGAGTTTCGAAAATCGTCGATGGAAGTTAATAATTTCCGTAAGATTACTAGAACTGTTTTTGAAGAAAAATCGTCTTGATAGTCATCCAACTCGAGTTTGTTTGCCAAACCCGTGCTGTTGTTCATTCAACAGTTGACATGCACTTTGTGTTTTCCCACGCGCTCCCTAATTGATGTCAAATTAAGACAAATGTTACAAACCTTTGCAATCACCTTCATCTTCACGCAGATAAAAATTTTTTCGGTGAAGCCTCTTTCTGTAAAATGAATTGCCTCCGTTCTCTCTTCTCGCTACTTTCTAAAAATTGTTCAGTTTATGCAGGTTTCTTTTTGCGATAATTTGTTTAGGTTTAAAAATAAAAATGTTATTCACCAGCCTAGGTCGGTCCATATTGGGAAAAACTCTGCCTACTGTCTTGTGTACCGCTCGAGGCCGCAAGTCCTCGGGCACAATTTTTTCCAAATACGGACCGACGTAGGATGGTGAATAACACACATCTTTCATTTTCCTTCTCTTTATGTTGAAAATTAACAAAGGTGCAAACAAGGAATCTCTCTTGTAAGTCCATTGAATCACATTGGTCAAGTACACGAAACTTCTAGTGCCTTACTACATTCTGCCCCTAGCCAACTCGCATGGCAGTGCAAAGTAAACACAATCATGTCACTGAGCTCTTACCGGTTCTGTTGGGTAAACATATTGCCTAAGGTAGTTTACAACCTATAGGTGTTAGTCTAGGTTGGACTTTCTGATCTAAATATCCCTGATGCTTGCTGTTCTGGAATGCTTTTAAACGTTTAGAAATATCAAGACAAAGTGTAATTTGTTGGCCTCATGCCACCAGTGACGGGAGCACGTTTAGTTTAAGGTTTTGAACGCGCAACTCTCTTGCAGGAGACAATGTTTCTCAACCCAACTAGCATCACGGGGTTAAGGTTGCACAAGCTCACAGTTTTATCCAGGAATAGTATGCATGACTGATCACAACACAGTTGCTCCAGCTCACCATACCACGGGATAATGGATCTAGGGTGTCCATGTAAACTATCGTCTTTACCGTTGAACAGTGTTAATGAAATAATAACACTGTGCGTTCATCTCATGCCTGTTTTTTTAGCCATAGGTGAAAATATGATTTATAGAAGCAGTGATTTTGCCTTTCTTTCAACAAATGGTTTCGAAGTCTAGTTTGCAACTTAAACTCAGGAGGAAAGGTTTTGAATCCTGTTTCCTTGTAATTTATCTTTACCAGTTCACAATGAGGATCACTTCGTTATCAATTTATTCTTTAATCCTGTCAACATTTCTTCACAATAACATCAAGAGGTGTATACAGCGGTGACTGGTCCTTGTGAAGCTCTGGTTAACAATATATACCTGGAAAAATCAGTTGCAGATGTCGTAAAAGTTCTAAAAAGTCTATTTCTAAATGCTAACAAATAAAATACGCTGTTCTGAACGCTATTACTAGGCTAATACTGATTTGCTGAGGAAATTATTTACAAGGATATTCTGTAGAAAATTCAACGACCGCGAATTTATAGCTTAAAAATAGCAACAACAACTGCAACAAAAGTTAAAGCATGCAGTTCAGAGAGATGTAAACAATATCATGGACGTTGGCAAAGGAACTGTTGGATGAAATGAAAAATCTAAATCCAGCTTTGAATTTTGCCTGGAGTTATTTTACAAAAGCTTCAGGCGGAATCCTACCACTATCCTGAAACGGAAAAGAAATAGTGTGTGGTGAAGAACATAAAATATACGAGGCTTCTGCACTATTTAAAATACAATATAATTTATATCGTAAAATAAGTTGTGGTTTGTCATCGTGTTAATTAAATAACACTTTTAAAAGAGTGCACTCGTTTGTCTCACGATGCGGTCACTTCGGATGTGGATCATAACGTTTCTATTGCATACTGCTAGTCTTCTTCTGGTGATGAGGTCGACTAAGTACGCGTCACCTATAAACTGTTGTGCTCAGCTGTGATTAGATGGAATTCCACGGCTGTGATTGGCACATCTTCGCAATAACTTTCGGATCAGTTTTTGTTCCTTTTTTTTTTCCTTAATAAAAATTTTGCATTTTGCATTTTGCATTTTGCATTGCATTTTTTGCCTGGAGTTATTTTACAAAAGCTTCTAGCGGAATCCTCCCACTATCCTAAAACGGAAACGAAGTAGTTTGTGGTGAAGAACATAAAATCTACGAGGCTTCTGCACTATTTAAAAATACAAAAGAATTTATATCGTAAAATAAGTTGTGGTTTGTCATCGTGGTGAATAACACTTTTAAAAGAGGAGTGCACTCGTATGTCTCACGATGTGGTCACTTCGGATGTGGATCGTAACGTTTCTACTGCATACTGCTAGTTTTCTTCTGGCGATGAGGTCAACTGAGTTGCGTCACCTACAAACTGTTGTGTTCAGCTGTGATTAGATGGAATTCCACGGCTGTGATTGGCGCATCTTCTCAATAATTTAATCAAAAAACTATATGAAGGAAATCAAAGGAGAAATGCTCCTGTGCGAGGCTAAATTTAACAGAAATCGACTTTACCTTTAATGAAGAAAACGCCATTGCGGCTTTCTCGAAGTTCCAATTATTTTCAGACAGGCACCTACGAGGCAATAAAAACCATCAGCAAAAGGGTACTAGCATACATTCAGAGTAACAGGTTTTCCCTTATAGATGACAGGCATTTGCTTGAAAACTAGTTAAGGACAACTCCCGCTAGCAAACAAGTTGTCCTATTAGATGGCTAGTGACACCTGTGGGCAAATCCTGTGTTCTGATTGGCCGTCTGAGCGGGTAAGATGGTATGACTTACCCGCTCGGGGTTGCCCGCTTAGATCCCGCGCAGACAAAACATTGCGTGGTGCGGACTTACAAAGTTTGTCATTTTTGGACAAGGTCGGCGATGCAGTCGCAAAACGCGGCATAAGACCGTGCATGTACGTCGATACGGTCCAGAGTAGATACACGTTTATTACTTCTAGGCTTACAATGTTATATCAGATTTAGCAATGGTCATTATCGAGGGTATACTAACAGCTTTGAGGAACAACGCTTTTTCTGACGCTACTCACTTGTATGACCACTCAACGTTCATTGTCGACCGCTCTGCAAACTGGAGAATCATCTGCTGCTGCTGCTGCAAAACGAATTCCAGTTCACTGATTTTTAGAAAGTTGTCGATTTCGAATTAATAAAAGTATTATTAAAGATACTTTAAACAGGAAGCAAACCGGCGGGTGAGAAATTTGAGAAGCTGTCTCGCACACAGTCTGGAGTTGATTTTAAGTTGCCAAAATGACTATCCCCTGAATAGCGCGACAAGAATTCAGCTAGTAGCGAATTGTATCAACATGACGTCCTTGAGAACCTCTTTCGCCAAACAAAGTTATATCCGATTCACATTAAGGAGGGAACTACAATTAAAGCATAGATTACTGGAGCGTGTAAAGCATCAGTAACTTACTAAAAAACGTCGAGTATTACTAAAAATGGCAGACTAAGCAGCGATTCGTAGCTGCGATAACATGACACATAAATGAAAGTTTAAGTTAAAACATGAACATGAGACTGGAATTGGTTTTTTGTCATCAGTTAACCAGGATATATCGGGATAAAGATTTGTAGATATGGCTTCTCGCTATCTACGACAAGAGCATACCATCTATCTTCGCGGCAAAAAAACTTAACGAGGGGAAGGAAAACGGAGAGACAAGCCATGCCATATCCCTAAACGTCTCTTCCCACATCATCATGAAAGCGATTTTTTTTACCTGTGTAGTTGCTGATGTCAAACCAAGAACAGCTGAACTGACTTGTAACGTTTCAGTGCTGTTGGTGGCAATCGTACTTTCAACAGCCGCACCCTGAAGCGGTGAAAAGAAGAGTTAATTTACTACCTAAAGGCAAAGTAATCTTTGGTCGTTTAGCGATGAGTATGAGATGAAACGAACCAGAACGCTTGTCGTCCAAGCATGATTAAAATCTCAGACTTGCAGATTGATACGCGTTAAATTTTCTTAGTTTCTGTTTAACAGTTACATGCATTTGCTTACCTGCACTTGAGAAGGCGAAGCGTGGCTAATATGCAGCTCATCATTAATTATACTCAGCCTAAAATATATAAACACTACTGATTAGAAACTTTTAGCTAATAAATAACTAAGTACTGAAAATTTACAGCAGTTTTAAGGGATTGCTTTTAACTGTAGAGGTAAAATTTCTTTTCGGTTCGGGTACTATGAGGAAGTTTCGTGTCCACTTTACATAGGTTCACAACCACAAATTAGAGAACAAAAGTGTTTTCTACAGGCCTCTTTCTTCGTTGATTGCTGCTCTGTTACTGTGCTGTTTCGCAATAAATAATAATGAGTCCAGTTGAATACAATACAATTACCCCACCCTATAATAGACAATAGTACCATTTCATTAGACAGAGGAATATTGCATATTATTCTCGTACGTAACTCATGTTCCAAGCCCTTCTGTTTGTAAGATCAAGCTCTTCATTAACTTAGGACCATATTAAGTCAAAATATTCCACACCAAGCGAGCTTCTCACCTCTAACTCTATACAATACTATTGATACTCAGTTACACTTTGAACATTACTTACGCGCTTCCACCAGCAGCAGGAACAGCGAGAAATACTCTTGTAAAAGACCTCAATGTTTTAGAGTCTGTTGAAATATCAAAACATTCAGTTAAATTTAACTCAAGTCAAATCGACGGAGGAAGACACTCCCAGTACGTTTAAGGTTAACATCAGCGGAGTTTTTAGCTGTATGTATGCTTGACGGTTTAGAACGGATACCAAATACATGCCAAGAAAATGACTCCTATGTTCGATTTGTTTTATGCTCGGCACAAAGAAACCTCTTCCCGAATAAATCTCATTTTACTGCTTTTTTCAATAACACAACAGCTCTAGGGCTGCGTTTTGAGCTGCCTTCAACCATTATCGTAAGGAATACCGAATACGAATATAAAACAAAATGAATCAAAAATGAACCCTTTTGGACTCCGCGAGGAGTTACAGTTATTTTCTAGAGGGGATCGCGACATGATTGACGGCATCGTGAAATGCAGTGTGCATTCGTCTCACTGAAAAGCGCTCTAACGCGAGACATTGTATTTCTGTTTTGTTTTGGGGCATGTTGTTCGATGCTTTTGATGCAACGTAGCACATTGACTTTGCTAGTACATCACCAAATTAAAAAACAGTTAGGGTAGGTTGAGACTAAGTTTATCATTGAGATGAGGGCGAATGGACGGGAAACGAATGGAGAGAGGGAACAGAATAAAAGCGACAAAAAGCGGTGGACTGAGACGGTGAACAGATGTCTATTTTCCTTCTCGCCATTCCCAGTTATTCTCCTCGTTCCCTACCGGAGCCTTGTCCAGGGATATAAAACTAAGATAGCTTACTTACTCTCTAAGAACAATCCTCTGACCGCAAAGGACAAGCAGGAAGGCTAGATGAAAAACATAGCATTTAATCAGGGTTATTGTTAAATCTGCAGGTCTCTAAAAGCGAAGTAAGGAGTCAATTAACAAGAATCAATGCCAGGATTCACTGAGGCAAAATACCCATGATGTTAGCTAAACGAGAACAACTCAGTACAGTAAATTACGCAAAAATACAAAACAATCATAGATAAGAATGGACTAAGCTACAGTAGATTGTTACAAACAGTACTTCGGTGCAATAACTTACCAAGGCCAGACTAACATCGACAGTGAAACTTGACAAATCATGCTTTGTGCTGGGCAGCTCATTCAAAAATGCAACAACAGAGAGTTTTGAGTGCTTCAAAAAACTGCTTCGACGCTCTGCAAACAAAGTCCATTGTTAAATGAACGTACAATTGTGTCTCACAAAACAGCGACAGTATATCACGTCAGCTGCAGCCTGTATAAATCATATCCGTTTCCTCTCAGCCATATGGGAGCTTCGCAATGGCGTGTTGTTAGTTTGTTCTTTTTACCTCAGGTCCTCTCCTGGAATGACTATCATTGGCTAGAAGGAAGCGGTAGTGACTGCCAGGCAGGTTAAGTTAGCAAATGGCTGTCCAAAACACCTCCCCTCTGGAACTTACCGTGTCATTCGCTCTGATGAAGGGCTAACGCTCGAAAAATCAGCTTCAAAAACTTTCTACGGTGGCCAATTAACATTATCAAACCATATGCTGTATTATCAACTCAGTTAATGAAACTAAATAATTCCATTGTACCCAAGGACAGGATGAAATGTGATTTCCAAATAGCTATCTTGGAGATTTGCAGCAGGGTGATCGAAAAACATAGCTTTCCTTCATGGAATGTTTTTCATGTAATTGTACAAACGTAACAACTTTTAGCAATTGTTAACATTACCTGGGTCAGCGACTCTTTTCAAGTTTCGGCTGTACTTCAAGTAGTCACCAAGTGAAGGGGCCCTGGTCAAGAGATAAAACAAATTTGACATGCACAAAAGACTCCAATTGATAACACAACTACAGCTGATGATGATTCTTTTATTGAGTTTTAACATACAGCTGTAACTTGACCTATTCATTAAGGAAGATCTGAATACAGCTGTTGTTCACTAAACTAACACACTGACCTTTGACCACCGCGATCCTTCCCTAATGCTTCTGTATTGACACACATGGAAAATATTGCCTGTAAAAAACCAAATTGTCAGCACTCTTAATTTCAACGAAATCAGTGTTGTTGCAAGAAGATTACTAGCCTTCTCTCAAGCATGGGGCACGAGAAATTCTTCACTCTCATCCGGGGCATTTGCATGATTTTGGTAGATTACGAGCAGTTCCTTTTTCTTGGCGAAATCGTGTCGCAAGTTAATAGCAATCAGCGAGAAATTTTTTTCCCAGCACGCCTCGCTTTCAGGGTTCACGAGGCAGTGGGATGATTATCTTTTTTCGCTGGGTAAGAGGAACCGCTTAAGAGGGACTGGGTAAGAGGAACTGGGTAAGAGGAACTGGGTAAGAGGAACTGGGTAAGAGGAACTGGCGAAGAGAAACTGGGTAAGAGGGACAAGCAACATGTTCGCCTCTCTGAGCTACCCCTTTAGCTAAGACTGAAAGACATGTCAAGTCATAATCACTGGATATTTCTTACAATCCATTACCTGATCATGGTAAGCTTGAAGAAGGCCTTGTCTGTTGTCTGTGTCATAAATCTTAAAATATCTAAAAAGGAGAAATAAAGTTGCGCCCGGTAGATTGCGCCAGACTGGGGCACCACCTTGAACATCAAAGAATACTCAAAACATCTCATGTTTTAACATCAGGATGATGAATGGCAAATTAATACTCCCAGCCAAACTCAATTTTGAAACAAGTAGAAAGTAAAATACTAGTTGGGGCTTAATTTTCTGCGATAATATTCCTTAAATGACAGTTTACCCAGTACTCACAATAGCCAGAATACATTAAACCAGTGAATACTCAAATCAAAGTTTTGATTGGGCTCTTGAAGAACTCAGAAACTTCAAATAATTATGTAGAATGTCTTTCACTTAAAAACTCTGAACAGCCACCTGAAAGAAGTGGAATGCATATTCTCTGTTTTTCTATACTTTTGGTTAAGAAATAACCATTGAGGTGATTAGTCAAATCAAGGCCATCATTGGTACCAAAAGAGAATACAGCTACAATTTATGTCATGATGCATGATTTGGAATAATGTCTTTAACAGACAACACAGGTTGCTGTGAAATTGCATTTGTTGATGGCAGTGACAGAATCAACATGCACAGCAGAAACTGATATTTGCAGCCAATGGTTAAAACTCTGGAAGGTATAGGTGCCTTGTAATTGTTGACCAGTTCATATAATGAACACTTGTGGATAGCATCTCTGTAATGTACCACAGTTATATGTTTTTGAAAGACACGGACACAAATAGAGGCAAACTGATTCATTGAGTCTGCTCTGTCCATGTCATGGGTTTAAACAGACCAGCTGGAGTTTAGTACAAATCTGCCTGTACCACCCCATCACATGCTTGGTCTGACCCAGCCAAAATGAATCTCTTTCAAGCAGAGCAAATACACTCTGAGCCTTAGCTGAGAAGGTACTCCAGTTTAAGAACACTCAGCAGAAGATATGATGTGTTCAAAATGGTGAAGCAGTTCTTGTCAACAGGAGGAAAACCTTATTTAGAACTGCTGTGTGGTAGAGACTCAAGAGGAATAACTGACAACAACACTGCACAAGGAAAGGGAAGAGGTGTCTAGAGAAATGCTGTCAAATACCATCACTGCCATCACCCATAAGCAAGATGCCAAATTCTGTGATAAAACAGATCTTAGGTAATTCCTTCATTGTTACAGATAAAAAAAAAAGCAAGTGAGGGTAATTGTTGCTGCCGTTCTCCTTTGTTACCTTCAGTTTGATAGCTTTGTTTACAGTGGAAAGTTTTACCTGGACTTTTAGTGGTGAACTTGAACTTTTAATGGAGAAATGATGATTTTCTATTTTTGCCAGAGGTACATGAATCAAATTTTATCACTTTTTTACGTGCTTATTGGTTAAATCCAATTTTACTATCTCTTAGGGAATTCCTTTGAAAAGCTGAACTGAAAAACTATTGAATGAAGAAGATATTCATTCAAATGGCCTTACTTTGGAATAGCAGCTGGATTGAAATTTACACAACAGTTTAGTGTTGAATAATTTTTTGGTTGTTGATCAGATATATTGCATTGAAGAGCCTTTCTGCTGGATCATTCCACCACATTTTTAGCCCTGTGTGTGTGTGTGTGTGTGTCCATGTCCATGTCCCTTACCATTTCACTGGGATATGTCAAAACCTCAAAACCCCAAAACACTTATATAAAATACAAATGTTGCCTTAAATTTTCACTTTCAAGAGCTTGCTTTTATGTCTCCAAAGGCTTCAGCTCTTTGTACTGTTGCAATATGGTTGCCATGTTTAAGATAGAGACCACAATCTAAATTTTCTGGCTATACATAAAAAGATGAGCTACATACTGCTCTATGAATTTTAGCACCATTTCTTTAACTGCCAGATCACCAAAAAAACTTTCCTAAAAATCAAATGAATCAAACAATAAAATTGATAAGTACTGGACAGGTCAGATTTATGAAATGAAAGGGTTAAAGATGGCAGCTAGAAAAAACAATCACTCATTCACAATCACCACACACATATACATTGTGACAAATAAGACAAAGACAGGATCAGTGGGACCAAGCAACTACATGCACAGCCATAGCTCAACAAGTTTACTTAAATCAGTTGTTAGTTTTACAACAACAACAAAAAAACACATGCGATGTATATAACAACAAAGTACCTTCGAAGCAGGGAGAGATTCTTCAGAGGGAAGGTCAAATCCTATTGGTGGAGGAAGTTCATGACCATCCTGATAATAACACCATAGGGGCTATTTTAGTACAAGATTTTTTTCAACTCCATTCACCCCCCCCCCTCCCCCCT